ACAATTAAAATCTACACAAGTCTAGACGAAACAAGGCAGAAAAGTAAACCAATTTATAATCAAACAACTTAAAGGAAACAAGGATAAGCAACTAGTCGGTTTGCCCTAAGTGGAAGCTTGAAACATATGAAATTTCCAAGCCACTTCCACTAGTACTAAACGTGAGTAGGATACCAAGGGTTAGATATACCTGACCAGCTTCTTAATACTCCCTCCAAGCTTTACAAATTGATTTAAAATACAAGAGAATTTGCAAAAATTTAAACTACACTAGAAAACAAATAATGGCGGCTTTAGACACCAAATTAGTGACGGATTTGTTGTCCAATTTTTCTAACACTTGTTTAAGTGTTTCAATCTGCCACTAACCCTTGAATTAAGTTGCTCCTGGACCCTGCACAATGAACATAACAAAATGGTTAATGCAGGCTGCTCACAAGGTTAAAGGAATGATCACTCTTGTGAAGGTAGTTTAGGAAAAGTTTGGTCACTAAATTAGGTCAAATTTTGAAGTCTTTAATGTCCAAGTCTTTTCCTACTTTTTGTTGAGTCAATGTTTGACCCTTAAGCAAGGATTTGAGGCCACTTCCAGCATAGAATGTTTAGTCAAAGAAAACAAGACAAGCAACTGTAGATACCCAATTTTGTCCGGGGGCATACAAACAAGATAGGACATCAGAGGGCCCAAAAACCCAAATTAACTTTTTTTAGTGGCCTGGAATGGGCCGTTCCAAAATTGGAACGGGCCGTTCCCAAGTTCGGAACAGGCTGTTCTCGAATTAGAACGGGCCGTTCTGAGACTTCTCAATGGCCTAAAAATTGTTATCTGGAACGGGCCGTTCTGATGTCAGAACGGGATGTTCTAGGGTACAAATATACAGCATAACGTTCGGATCCGGAACGGGCCGTTCCGACCCACATCTGATGCCTATAAATAGAAAATCTCGGCCAACAGTTTGAGGGCCTCCAAAATTTTGTCCAAAGCTCCATAGAGCTCGAAATTTCTCCCTTTTTTCTCTCTCTTTCTCCTATTGTACTTCTTGAGTTTTGTGAGGCTTATTGTAGTGTGAAAGGTTGCCACAAAGCACGTAAAACCTCCATAGTTGAAGATCCAATAAAGCTTGAGGTATTACTCATCAATCTCTTGTTTTATCTTTGTCTTCTAGAGAATTTGCAAAAATTTAAACTACACTAGAAAACAAATAATGGCGGCTTTAGACACCAAATTAGTGACGGATTTGTTGTCCAATTTTTCTAACACTTGTTTAAGTGTTTCAATCTGCCACTAACCCTTGAATTAAGTTGCTCCTGGACCCTGCACAATGAACATAACAAAATGGTTAATGCAGGCTGCTCACAAGGTTAAAGGAATGATCACTCTTGTGAAGGTAGTTTAGGAAAAGTTTGGTCACTAAATTAGGTCAAATTTTGAAGTCTTTAATGTCCAAGTCTTTTCCTACTTTTTGTTGAGTCAATGTTTGATCCTTAAGCAAGGATTTGAGGCCACTTCCAGCACAGAATGTTTAGTCAAAGAAAACAAGACAAGCAACTGTAGATACCCAATTTTGTCCGGGGGCATACAAACAAGATAGGACATCAGAGGGCCCAAAAACCCAAATTAACTTTTTTTAGTGGCCTGGAATGGGCCGTTCCAAAA